TGCCCCCCCCCCCCCCCATCTTGGGAGGGGGGCCCAAGATAAAATCTTGCACCAGGGCCCTTTGGTTATTAGGTCCGCCACTGCATCAAATATATTCCGTGCAAGTTCAAACACTCGCAATTGCTATGATAAATTCCCCCCACAGTATATTGCAAAAGTTCACAGCTTCAACATGTTATTTCATTCTTCTGTTTATTTTCCCAGAAATCTATGGGTGAATGGGTAGAACAAAAATGACCTTAAAGTGAATTCCCCCTTCAGGGCAATGAACAGCAAATCGCAACATATTTACGAATTAATTACCAAATATACTTATTTTTCTCTTGTTTCTTGTGTTTTAGAGTTCTGTCCTGTTTTGTGTTAAATTTGTATTTCTTTTACCTGGATAACAGCTTAGAAAAAAATGTTTTTGTTTCCAAATTGGAAATCATCAGTGCTAGTAAACTCCCAGGAAACAATTTCCTCGGGAGCTATGATTTGTTCTTTTTTTTGAGTAAATGTAGCCATTTACTTTTATTGCGTTGAATAGACAAATATAGTCACTATCATCTTGTATTTGAAAAGAGCTTGTGATAACATCATGTAGGCAAACACACACTAAATTTCACTCCATTTATTGATCAAGCATAATATAAAATGGGAGTCATACAACAAAAGCACAGATTAAAAAGGATTTATTGTCAAAATATTTTACTAGGCCATTTCATTTTATTCAAAATAACTTAATAAATTATTACCTCACTTTTCATCACATGACCAAAAAAAACTGTCCAAAAATAAGTTTCTATTACGTGATAGAAAGCCACTGTAAACATTCACCAGTCACTAAGATGTGACATAATAAATAATCATTTATTCAAGTTTTCCTTTATGTTGTCGTTGTCCATCATTATTAATAACCTTCAAATACAACTCTGAAGGTTGATAGGTGGGTTATTCTTCTTATATATTGCCAATCGGAATGCAGGTTTTGGTGCTTCGTTTGTTCCACCAGAAAAAAATGTTTCATGCTGATCCATAGACCTGTTACACATAGAAATCCTTTTGTGCCCATGCCCCAAATAGTGCAATTACAATAATGATGGTGATCAGCAGGTAAGTGGCTAGCTCATCAATACACCATTGTTCTGAGCAGATGCAGGGCTGGTTTTGGCAGCTGTCCACATAAGTTGCAGGAATCCTTTGCCTGTGAGCCCGGAGGGATTGTATTCTAGGGAATAAAAAAAATATCAGCTTACTCTTGTACAAAATGAGAAATAAACACGTATGACCATATTTAGTATAGGGTGCATGAAATGGTTTTTGACTAGGATGACTACACCAAATACTATGTAACTAGGGAATGGTAATCAATAAAAAAAATCCCTGTTAGGTTGCTATGGCTTGTCATTCAAATGTAGCTCTCAAATCACTCATTTGACATTTCCCTAATTCTTTATGGATAGGACTTGGGCAACATAGCATGTCTGGACTTTACAAACATTTACCTGATAGTTAAAGGGGAAGTACACCCTAGAATTACTCTATGAACATTTACCAGCCATATAACACCTGTACTTTGATAAATACATAGCACCATCTTTGTTTTCTGTCCACGCTCCGGTTGTGCAGTAATCAGCATTGGAAACTGATGACCATTTACTCAGCCTCCCCATGCTATCTATGTTTTGCAAAGTCTGACTGCGAAAGGCTTACTCTGTGTCCTGATGTTGTTCAATACGTAGATAGCATGAATTGGGTTGAGTGACACCATGGGTTGCATTGTGTTGCTGGTAAATGGCACGCAGTTTCCAATGATGCTTACTAGACAAACATGGTGCTATGCATTTATCAAGGTATATGCATTAAATGTTCATAGAGTAATTCTAGGGTGGACTTCCACTTTAAGTTCATGCTCATCCTCCTGCAAAACAGCCCTTTTTGTATCAGCCCATACATTTCCTATATGACTGATGTCATGGCTCTTCCTGGTCTACTTTAAGACAAGAAGGAAACAGCTAAATTAGTAAACTGTTGTAACCCATAAAAAACAGAATCCACTTCAGGGCAGGATCTGATTCTGGAAGGTTGCTTTTGCATCGGTGCAGTTAACAAAGTACTCCGGGCAAATAAAATCTTAACCCTTACAGTGGGGCTACCCCCTGCACTGCAAGGGTTAAGTGCTCCTTTTGTTTAGTTATCCTTACCCGAACCAAGATCCCAGATGGCTGATAGACTGGTCCCTTCAGCCTCGCTCTCCAGTAGTCTAAGGTCCAGTGATGTCCCTGAGCATCCTCATGTCCTATACACTGTAAAGGATGTGAGGATGCCAAGAGACATTCCAGGTAGGGAATACTATTGACAAAACTATATGATTGATTGTCCTGCATTAGAATTTGCCACAAAGGTTGATTTACATAGTTACATAGTAGATAAGGTTGAAAAAGAAGGTCCACCAAGTTCAACCTGTGTGTGTGTTTTATATGTTTGATCTAGAGGATAGCAATAAAACCCTACAAGCACAGGCCAATTTGGTGTAAGCAAAAATACTTCCTGAGCCCCATACTGGCGACTGGACAAATCCATGGATCAATCACCTATTGAATTTAGGAACTCCCAAAGCCCTGTTTATTATGCTGACTGGGGAAGATATCTAAAAGTTTCTCTATAAATTAATCAACACTCTCAGCTAACACTCCTTCCTCGGGAAGACAGTTTAACTTTTCAACCCTTTTCTCAGTTTAAGATAAAACCTATATTTGTCTTAAACTGGGGCCACTTGTCTTCTTCAGGAAACCTAGAGTAACACATTGATGTAATGATGTTTAATTGCTTGCTTGTCATTCATTCTATTTCTTACTTTTGCTAATCCAATCTTCCGCTCTTGTTAAAAAAAACAAAGGTCTGAGTGTTGATTATGAAAAAACAATGGTTCTAGTGTGTTCAAAATGTATACATTTCCAACAAAACAGTTTTATAGTGCATTCAAATCTCAGAACATTTCAAAGTTTTGCCTCTCAATACAACAGCTTAAAATGTGAAAATCTTTGCAGCTACACAGTGCTTGTGAATCATTTTTAGAATGAACAGCTATTAGAATCAGTGAAAAGATCTGCCTGCGCACATCTTTATACTTTGCTGTAACATGAATCAACTAAGCAGTATCCAAATCAGATATAACTATTTCTAATTCTGCTTCTTACCGTCTTGCAGTGTTCATGTTTGTTGTCTCCAGGGTTTTTTGGTTTTCTTCTTAAAGACCCAGCTTCTGATTATTTCAGTGATTTTATAGCGTGTGCCTTTGAGTTCAGGTCCATCCCCATGAGCATTGTGTTGTTGTGGAAATTCTCACGTGCAGCCTGCTGAGGTCGATATCCTAAAGTACGCTTGGCTCTCTCTCCTCCCTTCGCAGTATTTAAACACCTCAGCTTCAGTTTTATCTGATCCAGCAGTTTGCATGAACACAGCCCCCTGTCATAGCAGAAACTCCTCCTAGAAAGCCCTGGCTGGAATCAGTTCTCAGGAAGGCATGCCTGATGCTGTCATATGTTACTGCTGCAGCTGCTACCAACAAATGTTTCCATATTGAGCTAAAGAATGATATCATCTCCAGTTCATCAGATCTGACAATTTGCTTTTATTGCTGTCGACATATTCCCTACATTGGAAATCAAGTCATACATGATTTCTAAACCATTTGTAGAAATGTGCCTCTACTTTAGGTTCTGTCCACAAGAATGCTAGCATACAAGTGTCTTGTAAGTGATAGTAACAGGGGGTTGTGTGGTGATTAAAGCATAAGTGCACTTATTCTTTTTGCCCACCACCCTTGAGCTAAACGATCCTACTCCACCTCCTCCAATATCTGTACTTACCAAGATCCAATGGGCATGGTTTCCCTATTGTTTAATCCAGCACCGCAATGTTCCGTCTGCTGGCAGGGAGACTTGCAGGGCTGGATGTCAACAAAAAGTGAAGCAATGCCCCCTCGGATCTTGGCGAGTATAGATCTGCAGAAGGGTCAAGGTAGGGGCAAAAAGAATAAGATAACTGTGTTTAAAAGGGAACATATTCTTTAAAGTGACCAAGTGTTAGATATTCTTTCATCTTACATGCATGTTGAGTAGCAGCGAAACACTAGCAGGTATTTATTACAGGCCAAATTATTATTTTTGACATGTGCAATGTAAAAATAAATCCACACTAATGAAGTGAAGTGTGGCTCATGCATCTAGGCTGCAGTGTTCTGTACAACTCTGGCTTTCGCTCATCCGGGTACAGTGCAGTCACCGCCTGCTGGAGTACTCGATCACAGCGGGTCTCTCGCACTCCAGCTCCTCCATTCAGTAAATGTCTTGCATTCTTTTCAATAACTGCAAGGCACTCTGTGATTGGAGGAGGGGAGATTTTGACATTCATCTACCCTTCCTCCAATCACTCAGTGCCTTGCATTGATGTGACAATGAGCACCAAGACAAATACAGAAAGTGAATCTCCTTGGCTAGGATACAGAAAGCAAAAAAATAAAAACTGAACGAAAGCTACAAAAGAGCTATAGATACAAAAGCAAATGAAACAACTGAGTGATCACTTTCACTTAGTGATCCTGCTAGTAGCACACCCTGTCCCTGGGTGACTACACTTACTGTTCCATTGTATGTATGGAGAGAGCCTTGGTTACTAGCCATGTTGGATTTTAAACATGTCTGCTGTTGTATTATCCCCATTATATTTTGGTGATGGGATAAAAGTGCATCATGAATTTCAAGGTATGCCCTGGAGCCTTTGTAATACATTGCAGTAAATGCAAGCAGCATAAAGCCAAGGGAAATATTATATCAAAGGTCAGATTCATCACCACCAGATTTCACTAGACTGGCATAATATAATGATACAAATGTTTAATGCCTTTTCATGTTTTATGTAAAATTTATTTTACTAGGAAATGGAGATACTGTACAATGTAAATAAACCCCTAGCTGCTTTCAGTATAAACACTGTGATTGGTGTAACATACTGTAGTGAACATTTGGTGGCACAAAACAGTTTATATATAACAATTATAATGACATAAAAAAGCCTAAACTTTTTTTTTTTGCCTGCGTTGCATAAGGCCCCTTTCATTACTCTCCAATCTTGGGATGGAGGAAAGAACTAAAACTGCCGGACCACATGTCAGTTTACTGGAGTCGGATGTAAATGGACAGGTGTCCGTTTACATCAGACTACCCCCGATATGGCACATTCAGGTCTGGTGAAATGGATCTCCGATCTGTTTGTTTTTCTGGACCTGGCCAGAGTCGGGGGTAATCAGGTGTAAACATACACATGTCCATGTTGATCTAGCTCCCATAGGCTAGCATTGGGCATACACAAATCGAATTATAGCTAAAATTTGATATGTGGGTGGCCCTGTCAGGACCACCCGGCTCAACAAAAGTTGATTTTTCAATCATTTGTCGAAGGAACTGGGTGGAAAATTGTGGGACCAACAGTGACTATATCGTGTACAATGGAGGACACTGGTTGTCAGAATGCTTTGAAAGGGTTAAGTGCTCCTTTTGTTTAGTTATCCTCACCTGAACCAAGATCCCAATAGCAAGGTGGGAGGGATTCCTCCATCCACACTCTTTAGGCTAGATTCACACCTAGGCGATTCAGACGCTGAGCTGTTTTCGTGTGATTGTCATGTGTTTTCGATTTGCGACCGTTCATGAAAACCACACAGTTGTTGCGCGGTTTTCAGTGCATAGAGATGTCTATGGGACCCAAACTGTGCTGAAAATCGCCTGAAAATAGCTCCTGCACCTTTTTGCGCTACAGTTCCCATCACTGTCTGGGTGGCAAATGGCCACCAGGATAAATAAAGACGGTGAATCAGGGGGCGCGGCAATAAAAACCTGACTTTTGGAGTTCTAACACCTCCCTGCTCTCATTGAAAACTAATTCCAAAAGAAAAACTTTTGGCTAGAGTTACAATGGTACATTGTACATGGTTCACAGTACCATGTTACCGCAGCTGCTACTGTGTTGTGATGTGGCTCTCTGCTTTGCAAATAATTTAGCAGGCAAGTTTTGGGGTTAATTGTGGTGCAATGCCTTACAGGCCATTTAAATGTATGGACTGCCCTTCGACGTGGGCCCGCAGACCAACTCGGGCCCAC